ATATTTTAAAGGGGCAATTTGTTGGCTGAAGATTTTGATAATGTTATCTAGAATTCAAAAGAGTTAAAAGTTCTGATCGAAATGGAATTGAACACCATATTTCGAAGTTGCAGAAGCAGTGTTTCGAATGAGTGTGTCAAAGCTTGAAGCTTCGAACGGTGATCATGGGAAAATATCCAAAGGGGTCTCGAAACAACAGCGAGGCTAGGTTTGGGAAGAGCGTTCGAAACGGAGAAACACCAAAGCATTTAAAATTTAAATGGAAGCGGGACTTTCAAAGTTTGAAAGTTATGTGTTGGAGCATTTGGGGACACGTGGAAAGATGAAAGAAGCATTGTCTTGCATGTTCGAAACGTGGCATGATCCTATAGCGAGACCGTTAGGGTCGAATTAGTATAAATAGAAGTCTTAGTATTAGGATTTCAGTGTGTCATATCTGTTATACAAAATACTCAATAACATTCAAACTACCACATGGCAAGGGAAACGAATGCAAGAGAGATGTATGTATGATAGCACCATGTATTTCTAACTTAATGAAAGCCTTTTTACCATTTCCAGTACTTTCCTCTTTTCTTTTTATCGAATAACATTTACAAGTTTCTTTATTTATCGTCTTTTCATTTCAAAGTCTTTTCCTCAAAAGTTTTACTCTTTATTGCTTTCTTTATATTTCGAGCACTTTATATTTCAGAGAACTGTTACGCTTTCAATACCTTTACTTCCAAGTATTGTTTTTCAAACGCATCCTTTTACTTAAAATTGCATTCAACGCTTTCTTCACATTTTAAACTTCTACATTCCAGAAACCTTTTATGTTAAATGTTTTGCAAATCGAAACCATTTACTTCATTTTTCATACAGTTTTATATGTCTCTTCAATCAGCATTACAATTAGCATTTATTCGTATAATTTAGTTTTCATGTACAATTTGACCACATTTTTAAACTCTTAGAGAGAAGGATCGAAATAAACCAAACACTTGTACAATAGCAACCATGAATAATTGTTCGATTGTGAGAGTAACTTTAATATCCAAGGAGTCCTAGGATCAATCTAGTCGATCCTGTGAGTTACCAGAGAGATTGAGTAGCGTTAATAAAGATTATTCGATAGTTTGGAAGACTAGCGGTTGTTTACCAGAAATCACTGGAAACACTAGTGTGTAATTTTTTCTAACAGGTTCTGACTCTAAAGAATTGATGTGTGACGTCATTAGATTTTAGACTCAACACACTAAGAGATACAAATGTGTGTTTCATTTCTTAGAATGCTTCTAAAACAACAGTTATGATGAACGTTAGTTTTAAAGCTTATGACTGTGACTCTGATAATAGAGCTTCTGAAGGATTTTCAAGCTCTAAAGATTACAATCTCTCTTGTTTAAAGGTTCTGAAGATTCTGAAGACAAGATTCTGCTGAACGAGTTCTGAAGATTCTAAAGACCAACAGTTCTGAAGACCAACGGTTCTAATGACCAAGTACTGAAGACTCTGAAGACAAGGTTCTATTAAATAAGTTTTGAAAACTATGAAGAAAAGGTTCTAAATGCAAGGCTCTGAAGACTAAGTGCTAAAGACTCTGAAGACAAGGTTATGCTGAACAAGTTCTGAAGACTCTGAAGACATGGTTCTGAAGATAAAGTTCTTTATCCTTCTAAGCATGTTTCAACTCTTATATATTCTGAAGCCTCTGAAGATTAAAAGATAAGGTTAAAAATATTTGTGTGAGAAATAGTACAAGTTAACCTTCTTCCACTACTCTGATTTTATGGTGCAAGGATTATACTATTGATATGATGTTGTCTACCACTCACACTGACTGTTATGCAAGAAGACAGCTAGAATCTTGGTATTCATATTCTACCCTCAAACAAATTATTTTTGGCTATAAAAAGAAGACTTGGATGAATTGGAAAACAACGAATTTGCATTGAATCATTCTGCTAAAATGCTGGTAAAATTTTGTAAAGTTTTAAAGTTTTGTAAAACAAGGAACTTTTGTTTATAAACTTGCTAGCAAGGAACTGTTGTTCGCTAACTTGCTTCTAACACTGTTGTGTTATTATTTGTACTTCATTTCTATGTAATCTGCTTTCAAGAAGCAATATTGTAAACACACAAACTTGTATTCAACAGTGAGTTGATTTTTCCTTGAGAGACTAGGGCTTTAGTCATAATTCTCAAGAAGACATTGACGGGTACTCTTTGTGATTGTAAACATTGATAATTGATCTTTGTTTGTGTCTGTAATCAGTTTGGTTATAGTGGATTAAGTCCTTGTTGAGAAAGGCAAATCACCTTGGGAGTGGACTGGATTAACTTAGTTAACAGTGAACCAGGATAAAAATAATCGTGTTCATTTATTTTTGTTCTTGTGTTAATTTCAAGTGTTTGGTTTCGAAAAGATTTTATTCTTAAAAACCCAATTCAAACCTCTCTTTCTTGTGTTTCTCGCACCTTCATCTATTTAACTGTCATTATCAAATAGTAACATCCATTAAATCATAATAATAAAGTTTGCATTTTTATTCCCTTAACCGTTCATACTTAACTTATCATAAGATATTAGTTGTCATTATCAAAAATTGATATCATTTTTAAAAACAAGGTTTCATAAAGACCGTCATTTAAGAGAAGGTTTTGAAACTTCAATCAGAGCTGAATCAAGGCTAATTTATAGAAAATCGGGGCTGATAAGCTTTTGAATCTTCAAAAGGAAGTAGAGATTCATGGTAATCCCTCCGACTTAGCAGCTAAAATCACCTATCTATAAGAGACTCTGGCTGGGAAAGATAAGACTCTAGAAGAGGCTACTGCTTGTGCTAAGGAGTCGCCATCCCAATCTGTCGCTGCCCAAAAAGCTCTGAAGGAGGAACGTGAGTCATATCATAGATGGATGAAGGAGTACTGTACTGGTATCAAAAGAATAATATTATGGCTTTTTAGTTAAAGTTGGTTATAAAATTTGCTACTTTTTTATTTGCAATGTCATAATATTGATAATGGTTTTTTGCCTTGGAAACTTGTTAAAGTGAATAAAGAGAGAGTGGTAACTAATAGAAGCATAAACATACAGGTAATAAAGTTATGTTTGCTCAAAAGGATGATTTAAGAAAAGAACGTGTAAAAAAGAATACTTACTAAAAGATGTATTAATAATAATTCTCTTTTAAAATTTGTGGTTTGTTTGAAAACCATAATTGATGGGGAAATTGTGAGTATTAATATCTTGCATCCAAAAGACAATGGTTGCATAAAATAATGAGATATTGAGTTGTTTGGCAGATATAGAAGTCATTGGTCAAGATAAAATTAACAAGAATGGCAAGGGAAGTTCAGATTATATTGACACTTTTTTCATGAGTAAGTAATAGCATATTCAATTCCTTTACGAGACAATTCTATTTTGGTGAGAAACTCTAACTTATTAGTATATCTGCTATTCATAATATAGGGGTTGTATGGCTTGTTCCTACAAAGACTCGACATACTATGACGTTAATGAGTGAATTTTAGGTTAACAGCACTCAGAAAAAATGAAATTGTTGAGTTAGGTGGTGGAAATAGGGGTGTTCGTGGTGCGGTTTGGGCGGTTTTGAAGTAAAAAAACCACCCGAACCGCAAGAGAAAAAAACATGCGGTTCAGTTTGGTTCGGTTGGCTTTTAAAAATAAATCCAAACCAAACCAAACCAAACTAATGCGGTTTGGATTGGTTCGGTTGGTTCGATTTTTAAAAAAAAAAATTATTAAGTCATACAAACAAATATAGAGGAAAATATAATTTTGTATTTAATTGTTCGTACATTACCATAAAAAAATTTATAATTATCAAAATAAGTTTATAATTTGATACATAAAATTGCGTATTATAATTTTATCTAAATCTAAAGAATGATATAAACAAGATTGCATTCTTAAATAAATATTATACAAAGAATACGATAAAATATATTTTGTGAAAATAGTATTTATAAATGAATAATATTTTATTTTTTTATGATTTGTAAATTAAAATGATTATAATACAAAGTATGATAAAATATACACATAATACATGTTTATTTCTCTAAAGAATTAAAGAAATATATATTGGTTAGTAAGATTTTATAACATAATGTGGTTTTGTTTGGTTTGGTTCGGTTTGTAAAATACAAACCGCAAACCGAATCGAACCGTGCGGTTCCGCGAGAAAATGACCCAAACACATCCGAATTAAATGCGGTTTTTTGCGGTTTCAATTTGGTTTGGTTCGGTTTTGCGATTTCCTATTGAGCCGGTTTAGTTTTGAACACCCCTAAATAGAAATACTAGTTAGAAATTTTAATTGGTGGTCTCAAAAAAATAGAAAGAACAAGAAGCGGTATGCACCGAGCAAAAGATTTAAAGTGAGGATGCCTTCAACCACCCGCCTCACTAATTTCTCTAATTGTCTCTCGCATTGTTTGCATTCTATATATTTTAATATTTTTTTATCTTTTTGTTTTATTCAAGGATTTTGGTTTTATCCCATCCTCCTTTTAATTTTTTTTCTTTCGTTTTATACTTATTTATATTTAGTGGTAATTGGAAAAAAAATGGAGGATACTCATTTTATATAGAACTCCCTTTAACAAATAATCATCGTTTGTAATGGTCCAAAGTAAACAAACGAGGTGAATTTGAAAAAGAAATGACCGTTGGTGTGTTGGCAGGTAAAATGGTTTCCAGGCTGACAATGTGGGCCTCTTGTGTGGTGGTTAGATCATTACCTTTCACATGCTCCCTGCTGTTCTTCAACCCTAGTCTATGCTCCCCTGTCCCACTCTTTCTCTCTTTCCAACTCGTTTTACTTTTTATTCCAACACAACATATTATCAATTCGAATTTCCATATTTACCCTTACCTTACCCACATCTACACTCAACTCAACACCACTGTTCCTTTGCCCTTACACCTCCACCTCCATAAATACACCTTCACTTCCTCCAACAACTTCCACAACAACATTGTAGTAAAAATGTCTAAGGAAGTGAGTGAAGAAGGTCACCAACCTCATCACAGTGGAAAAGACTACGTTGACCCACCACCAGCACCTCTTCTCGACTTCGCTGAACTCAAGCTCTGGTCCTTCTACAGAGCTCTCATCGCTGAGTTCATAGCAACTCTCCTCTTCCTCTATGTCACCGTCGCCACCGTCATTGGCCACAAGAATCAAACCGGACCCTGCGACGGTGTTGGCCTTCTCGGCATAGCATGGTCCTTCGGTGGCATGATATTCGTCCTCGTCTACTGCACCGCAGGTATCTCCGGTGGCCACATCAACCCTGCAGTCACATTCGGCCTCTTCTTAGCTCGTAAGGTTTCTCTTATAAGAGCTGTTTTATACATTATCTCACAGTGCTTAGGTGCTATTTGTGGTGTTGGGTTGGTGAAGGCTTTCATGAAGCACCCTTACAACCACCTCGGCGGTGGTGCTAACTCTGTTGCTTCTGGTTATACCAAAGGCTCAGCACTTGGCGCTGAGATTATCGGAACTTTTGTGCTTGTTTACACCGTTTTCTCTGCTACTGACCCTAAGAGAAGCGCACGTGACTCTCATATTCCTGTTTTGGCTCCTTTGCCTATTGGTTTTGCTGTTTTCATGGTTCATCTCGCAACTATACCTATCACCGGTACCGGAATTAACCCTGCCAGAAGCTTTGGTGCTGCTGTTATCTTCAACAATGCCAAAATTTGGGATGACCAAGTAAGTCTAATAATAATAATAACATTTTTCATTTATTTATTATTTTCTCATGCAATGCATTACAAAAGAAATTATTAAGTATTACTAAGTAGTAACATGCATGGTTTGGGTTTGATGTTGCAGTGGATTTTCTGGGTTGGACCGTTTGTCGGAGCGGCGGCTGCGGCGGCGTACCATCAGTATATTCTGAGAGCGGCGGCTATCAAGGCGTTGGGGTCGTTCAGAAGCAACCCGACCAACTAATGATGCATAGATTTTATGTGTTTGTTTGTATGGAGATTGATTAATTTGTACTATTTTACTATTTTTATTTATTTATTATTCGGTTTGTTTGTTCGTATGAGATGATGCATGTGGTACTCACTTTTCATTTCATATTATTTATATTTTAATTTCAATTTATTATTTACAATCTCTTTTATTCTTCCATCCTAATTCCTAATTAGTAATATTGAGAAATATATTTATATGAAAACATAGTTAAATCTATATTTTAAGAAATAACTAATAAGAATAGAAAATTTTAAATTCATTTAAAATTTAATTGAAATAATTTTATTTTTTATTTTTCAATTAATAAAAAATTATAATTAATTGTATAATATTATTAATTATGTTTGTGTTTATCTAAAAAAATTTCATTTTTAAATCAACAACATGTCTATCTAAATTTTTTTCATGTTGAAATTAAGATAACACGGGGAAATATCTAAAAAAAAATTCATATTTAAATCAAGACAACATTGTTTATCTAAAGTTTTTTCATCATATTGAAATTAAGATAACATGGAGAAATATTTGTATGAAATATCTAATAAAAAGAGAGTATATTTTAAGGTTATTTAAAATTTAATTTTCTTTTTAATTAAATTTATGGAATGGTTGTAATAGAGTAGGAGAAACAAATTTATTATTATTTTTTAAGCAATAAAAAATCGAAATTGATTGTTTATAAAGCCATATATTATATTTGTTTTTATGAATTATTTTTCGATAACATGTTATAGTTTTATTGAAATGTCTTTAAAATAAGAAAAAGATTAATCTACTTCCAACACCTTTACTTGTTATGACTAAACGTGAAGTATAAAATTCGGGATTTCTTATTTCACTTAATATTTTTCTTATGTGTCACACGAAAATTTTTAAATGCTCTTCAAGATTGAAAATATATTTTTGGTATGTACTAAAATTTGATAAATTATATACATTGAAATTGGAATTGGAATTTAATTTCGGGTTTTAACTTGGAGAAGTAATTCTAGTTTTGTACTACACAGAAATCAAGAAAACATCATTGAATAACATCAATATCACAAATTCAAAATACAATTTATAACATAAACATAGGAAATACATTAAGGATTTTAACATAAATCAAATATTACAAATCAACGTCCACGTGGGCGTTGCAACATCATGATAATATCATCGACTGATTTTGAAATAGTCGCATCTAGCTCGATCGAAACTTTCTCCTCAAAATTGATAAAAGTATTCCACATAACTCGTATATCAGCGTCGTTCTTCAACTCACGGTTGTTGAACACAAGCTTCTCATCTTTGTCACTAGATGGCGAGCGGTACTCGATCTTCACAACTTTGCGATTGTCGCCAATAGGTACAAGTTCTTGCAATATTTCACGCACATCTTCAATTAGGGTGTACTTGGTGAACTTAAATTCGCGTGATGGTGTAGCGTCGGTAAAGTGGACAACTCCAACATGTCATTTGATGTTCATTTCTGGTTTTTGGTGTTGCGGTATGAAATAAAATGATAAATGAGGTTATATATAGTAGTTGCAGGCAAACATGAATCATACAAATCCTATCCTTGTGTCAGAGTTGAAACCAGAATTTCACTTCCGGTTTTATATAAATTGGAACCGAAAATATATTTCGGGTTAGTCCCCCAGGAGTGAAAAACCAGAAATTGAACAGAAACAACAACTCATTCAAAAAATCTCATGTATTCAAATATTGTATTTTGGTCAAACTACAAAAATGACTATATTTTCATAGCATAATACATGAACAAAATAACATTTACAATAAAATGATACATAACTACTTAAATGAGTGATGAGTGGTTTTTACACAGTTATTTACCATTGTTTTTTGTTATCCTTTCTTTTTATCGTCGAGTATTTTATTTCATTTGGCCACTTTTTATGCGTTGATTTTGTGTTTTAATATTTTCAGGTTCAAAAGAATAATCGGGACAAATTGGTGCGAAACTCAAAGTTTTGAAAGAAATGTAAATATCCACCTACAGGAGGCCTGACACGGCCACCTGTGTCACCTGACACGGGCCGTGTCAGGATGATAGCCAGGACGAGAGCCAGAAATAAGGGAAGTCAGAGGTGTGACACGAGCGCCCATGTCAGGGTGAGTTGTGATACGACGGCAGAACCAATTGTTTTTACTGGTTTGCGTTTTGTGTTTTTTGTTTGCAAAATGTCGCGGTAAGCAAGAGTCGCCACTGACTTTTATTTCATCCAATCATGGAAAAGGAAAAAGAACAGAAGAAACCTTTTTTCGAGATATTCTGAGTACGGGGGTAGATTATAGAAATGGAAGGTGTTAGCATCCTTTCTATCCAGGGTTTTTCATGGGCTCTTAGGTACTTGCTCATCTTTTTAAAAATTGCTTGTGTGTGCTTGTTTGAAAAAGGTTTTACTTCGTGATAACCCTTGTATCAGTCCTCAAGGGTGTGAAGAAGTTGTTTTTGAAAAATGTTTTGAAAGGTGTTTGTGTAAAAAGTTTTGTTGAGCAAGTACTTAAGATTCTACCTACTCGAAAAAAGATTATTCGTTCTCGTTTCCTTTAGACAGCGCTATCCTACTATCAAGGAGTAGGTAGCCCCTTCATTGGAGTTTATAAGGGACGTTCGAAAGGGACAAGTACAATCACCAAAGCAATGGGTAGGAAACCTTAGTAGTAACCCTAGAGTCTTAAGATCTTTCTGAGGCAACATTTCTGAGGCAACATTCGAAGGGGACATTTGATCTTTTAGACTGGAGGACAACCACTAAAATCTCCTATGCTTAATGACTGTTTTATAGAAGGCAACCGAAGTGAGGCAAACTCTAGGAGTGAATATGTGCATGTGAATTTTTCAGTTAATTTAGTCTTTGCACATTAGATGATCTACCGTTTTAATTCTCAGATATTCTTGCCATACAATCCTATTAACCATGCATCTAACTGTTAAAGATTGCGGAAATTAAAAGTGCGAGAAAATAAACCTAGCTATTACATGGCTTTCGCAGATACATAATTATTTAACTGAAAATAAAATACAGCAATTAAAACCCTAATTAAAATCTATTACAACCTCGAAACAGTTACATAAATAAAAATCGAAACGGTAATTAAAACGCGCGACGAATTAAATGCGAAGAATTAATTAAGAGACCTAAAATCTAATTAAAAAATTATTTGGTTATTTTCTGGAGAAAGAAAATTAATTAAGTTATGTAAAATTAAAACCCTAATTCTAATTACTTTTAATTTGTGAAAAAAAGAATTAAATTGCCCTAAATTAATTAATTAAAGAAAAAAATATTTTTTTGTGAAAAAATATTTTTTTTGTGTTTTTTGTGATTTATTTATTTTATGATAAAATAAAAAAATAGTTAATTTTTTTGTAGAAAAATAATTAAACAAATTAATTAAATAAAAGATAATAAAAAAAGAATTGAAATTGGCCTGTATAATGAGCAGTCTGGGGGGTGCAACTCTGGATTTGATGGGCCCAAGGTTGGTGGCCCAAGTGCCCTACATGGGATCCAGCGGAAGTGGCTTTTGAGAGTCCACCATACACTGCCTTTGCTGGACCGTTGGATCTGAATCAGGGACGATTCATTGGCTGGATCTTGTGAGTGTATGGTATAGGCTTGGGCCGGAGATGCATGGAATCTGCGTAAGATAAATCAGAAAATATGAAAACGTTTGGACTTGGGATTGAACCCAAGTCCTCACGCTTACCACCAATTTCCCTTGCCAGCTGCGCTACTGTGATTAGTTATAAATACAATGAAAACAAAATATAATATACCAAACAAGATAATTGGATCAGAAAAATGCGCGAGATTTAAACGGACAAATAGATGGTTGCCACGTTATCTTCTTCTACCTTCCTCCATCGTATTAGATATGCGACCTATACCTACAGACCATGTCTGTAACTAAAACCCGCGTGCTTCAAACATAAAAAAATACACATGATAAATGGATTTAAAGACCATGGATCAATTGGCCTTGATGCCACGATCCTCCCAGTACCCTGTTCTTGTTCTAATTTCACTTGTAGGTGAAAACCCCAAAAACACCACGAAAACCCTAGTAATGGTGTCTTTCAATTCCCGCGCTCAAACTGAAATTAAACAATGCAAACACATTGCACACATGATGACAAAAATGTTGCAAACCGTGATGTTCATATCAGGTGTTTCTGGGCGTGAAGGGACTTGTAATTGATCCAGTTAGCTTCAGAAACGTCTTAGGATGTGATTTTTGGTCTTAAATTGTTTTGAAAGGTCCTCTAGAATGAAAACCAAATCACACTTTTTGCAAGAAATTTGGAATTTTTTCTTGTGCTTTCTCTGTTGCCAAACCCATGTTTTATGATTGGTTCTTGTTCATTATATATGTTAGAACGAATTATGGTTCTAAAAACCATATGTATCTTGCAATTATGGAAGATTTGATTTGATTTCCATGCCATATGCAAACTTGCTATATTGAGCCAAATTATCCCTTTCTTGTACCAATCATGCTTGATTCGATTTGGCCTTGATATTTCAGCATATTTTGATTGCAATCCTGTCAAAAAATCATATCAAAACAGATCTTTGATATTATTTACCAATTATTTGATTTAATTCAATTTTTAATTAATAAAAAATCAAAATAAATTGGAAACTGAAGCAAATAACATGTGGATAAGTAATTGGGTCGTGGACCATGTTATAAGTGAGGTGCAATCATGAAATGCTAGGCCCATTTGGTGAAAATGCACTTTTGAGCATATTTGACTTTTGGCAATTTTGCAAAAAGGGTCAACTTTGACAAGGCATATCTATTTTAATTTTAACCCTAGAGAGGTGTTCTTTGACTTTTTAGAAAGCTTAGGATGTTCCCTAAGCAACCCTTTTGGTCTCATTTCAATTGGGTCTTCCATGTTCATGTAAGAAGCTTTGACCCAAAAGGTGTTTTTGTTGACTTTTCAAAAGGACCCA